GAAATGTGGGGTGGAGACCTGAATGTAACAAATTGGTGTTAAGTGAATAATTCCAAACATATAAAATTTAGATCATCACACTCGAACACAAACAGAACAATTAAATAAAGAATCGAAGGCATGCACAATCTAATTAGACAAATAAGTGAACTTTCCCATGCCGAAATCTGAAAGGCCAACATAAATCTCTCTTACGTTAACAAAACACACAAACACACACCTGTGTTTTAATTCTCCTCCAATACTCAATGAGCAAGGCAAGAAGAAGCTCAAGGCTGGAAAGAAGCTTCCAAAGAGAACAATCTATAAAGCAGACCACAAAAATTAGACAAAGGCCAAAAACTAAACCGTAAAAAAACCCTAAAATGAAAAAAAAAAACTTGCTAATATTCTATAAATCATAATATGAACTACAACCCATCAATCATTTCCTAAAATAAACTGCAATAAAAAAATTACCTACCCCAAATCGGCCTGAAAACTCACCAGGAAACCAAGGCTTTTCTGGGCTTAAAATTTCCTTCGAATTGGGACCAAATTCACGGTTTTCCAGCAAGAGGTCGATGTGCTTCGTAGTTTCTGTAAAAGAGAATCAAAGAGATTTCTAACAGCTTGGTGGTTTTTTAGCAACATAGTGCTAGCGTTGGTGATTTTTGAGAGAGAAAGCGAGGAGAGAAAATGGAGATGGAAGTAGAGTCGAGGCTATGTCGTAGAAGCAGAATCAATGGCTTCCACGATCATCAAGCATGACCACACACGCGCAACCCCTACCCCTTTAAATACCATTTCAGAATTGTCGATCCTCTTCAAATAGATCGATCAATTCCAAAGACAGAGAAATGAGGAATAAGATGACGGAGGTGAGAGAAGGGAGACAGGGGCAAGACCGTCTGTGTTGTTCTCACGAGGTCTGCGAGACGGAAGAGGCAAGGAAGGTTTGAGAAGGAAATGAAAAAAGGCCGGCTTTACTGTTGTTTTGAATTTTCATTTAGCACCAATTTTTTTAGCTTTTTTTTAGGGGGGGTTTGTAGAAGAATGTTGCAATTGCTAATGCCTGCACATATCTCTTTGTAAATATGAAAGATTTAAAAAGAAAAATATATATATGGAAGAGGGAAAGTTTGAGAAAAATGTTAGGTGTGGAGTTGGAAAGTTTAGGCGCGAAGCTAGAAGCCATTATTTATGATGTGTCATTCGTGCCATAAAAGGTAGGGACTCAAATATATAGAAAATTCACTTTACGATATAATGTGATGCCTTAAGAGAGAAGGAAAGTGCGTCGTGTAAATTGTCAAATATGACACACAACACTTAAGTTGTAAATATTTTTATTTAACAACTTGCACAAAAGTGATACCATGGATGCTACATTATGTGCAAGTATTACGACATGAACTTTACGAATGTTGTGAATAATATCATTTAAGGCATGTAAGTACTGTAAGCCGTATATTTCAAGTCGTAAAAGACCCAAACTATTGTAGTGGACCACAAATAGACATCTTATTTTTTGTAAGGCATGAGAGGAAGGCGTTGGCGAGCAAAAGAACCCCATAAAGAAGAAGATTTTACAACATCCTAACTAAAATTGAGTAAAGATGTCAAATTCAAAGTAGCTAAATGACGAAGACCAAGTCCTCTTCAATTTTAAGTCCACACCAAAATCCAATCAACTGTTACCAATTTATGAGAAGCTCAGTTCCCAGACCAAATAAAATTCACTTACAAGTAGAAAGATGCTTCAAAAGGCAAGCTAGACATTAATAAACTGAGAAACTATGCAGAAACAAGCTTTGATAAACAAACTGTACCGATTGAACCCGTCCAGCCGTCAAAAGTAGTTTACCTTTTGAACCAAAAAGAAAAGCTTTACCCTCATTTACCAAATATTGAAAGAGAATTCTCCTACCATGAAAAATGAGGACACCAAGGTACGTGAAAGGAGTAACACTCAAGCGAAAACCAAGATGTCTTAGTACATGAGTTTGACGACGGGAGGAGGTGGACAAAAGATGAAAAGTACTGTTATTTTCATTGACAACCTGCCCATAAGCGCACATTTAAGACAACTAAAAGATCAAACAATCCCGCGACAAAAGAAAGATCATTAGCATATAACACATGGGTAAGAGGACAACAATGTCAGGGCAATAAAAATATCACATCATCAAACACACAATTTTGCAACTATCCCACTTTACACAATGTATTGCTACCTCCTACCTCAATACTTTTGCAACTATCTCGACCAATTGATTGCCTCTTTTTGGTGGAACGAGTTGGGGAGGGGGGGTTCTAAGAAAATTCATTGGATGGCTTGGGATAAGCTCTGCAGTCTTAAGTCGGAAGGTGGTCTTGGGTTTCAAAATCTCTATGCATTCAACCTTGGTCTTCTTGCTAAGTAAGGGTGAAGAATCATTCACGAGCCTTCCTTTCTCGTGTTGAGACTCCTTAAAACAAAGTATTTCCCAAACTCATTCTTCATGGATGCTGTTATTAAGCCGAATGCATCATTTGTATAGCGGAGTATCTGTGCAGAGATAGATGTTATTAAAAGGGGATCGAGGTGGCAGATTGGGAACGAAAGTACCACTAAGATTTATAGCAACATATGGCTACCATTACCATCAACCTTCCAGATCTTTACCTCGAAGCTAAACGATGTTGCCATCTCTACTGTCAATGATCTTACCACGAGATATAGTCATTGGAACTTACCCCCTCAACCAGTCTGACTTCTCGAAGGCAAAAGTAGATTCAATTTGAACTCTTACATCAAGTATACTCCCCTCTATTGAAAAATTAGTGTGGCATTTTGACAAAAGAGGAAGATTCATTGTAAATAGTGCGTACTATGTTGCTTGTGAATGGATTCTTCCTTAATCGTTATATGCCTCTTCCTCCTCATCTAGCTCCATGGCTGCTGGGTTATAGAATGAGATTTGAAAGGCATGTACCCTCCAAAAGTTAGAATGGCAGTCTGGAGAATCATGTCAATCATTATTACTACGAGGGCCAACCTCTGCAAATAGCGACTTCAGGTGGATCCATTATGTATTCTCTACAGTACCAAATTAGAAACTAACACCCATATGATATTAAACCTTCCTTTCACCAAATGTGCTTGGCTCTCCTTGAATTTGGGCTTTCGTTCGCCTCACCGATGGAATGAATCTCTATTGGATTGGGCACACCACTCTATTTAGAACTTTAAATAAGTTGATTTTGACGAGTGTCTAATGCTGATTTGGGCAATTTAGACGGCCAGGAATGTAAAATTCTGGGGCCGAGACTTGAATCCTTCTCCTAATTAATCTTGTTATCAAGCGTGAGTGGGACTGGTGGCAGGAGTTCTTGAGTGTGAATATGAAGCCTGCTACTACTGAGACTTATTTGAATACTATGAAATGGAATACACACCCAACTGACAAATTCAAATTAAATGTCGATATGGCTTAGGATTCTACCTCAAAGGTTGGTGGAGTGCGTATTATTTTGCGAGATTCCAATTAGATTTTGTTGAAGCTGCTTTGTTCATTTTCCAAGATGCCTTATCCCCTATGCAAATCGAAGCGTTGGTAGCTAGAGTTGGTTTGGCTCTAGCGATTGAAAAGGGTTTCTAAACAATAATTCTAGAAAGCAATTCGCTTCAGGTCGTCTCTGCATTGAATTCTTTCTCTGTCGACTTGTCTGTCATCAGAACAATCATTGAGGTTACAAATTTTTTTCTGCATATGACCGCTGAAGGCCTCTGCTGCCTATGTTCGTCGGCATGCCAACTCTGTAGCTTATAGAATTGCTAGGTTTGCCCTCTATACTTGAGGTAATTGTACTTAGTTCGATGGTTTTCCTTCCTTCATCTGTGATCTTCTCGAAAAGGACCTTGCCACCCCTTGTACTACCTAGCCTTTTTTTTTTCGACTTTTGAATGAATTATATCGCCCTTTAATAAAATAAAGGGTAAATTATACAGAACTACTTCAACTATTGGGTCATTAACAGTTTCATACCTCATCTTTAAAAAGTTTCAATGTCATACGTATGTATTAATTTGTTGCAATGTTCCACCTCCGTTACGTTGTCTGTCAATTCCTCCATTATATGCTTATGTGGTTGAAGCTGGGTACCAACATCTTTATATATGAACTTCCATGTGGTCTGCCATGTAGATTTCCCACCAAAATTAATTTCCACGTCATTTAAAAAAATGATTTTGATTTTTTTTCAACATAATTTTTTCCTGCCAAAAGTAATCCACGTCAGCTAAAAAATTAATCTTTTAAAGGGTCCAATTTTGGAAGATAATACAACCTAAAAAAAAAAACCAAATGGAAATTCTACATAAACACATGATCCCATATCAACACATGATGTAAGTTAGAGATGAACACAAATCCTACATAAACACATGATATAACCAAAAGATGAACACAAAGTCCACTTCAAACAAAACATTTGCAAAAACCAAAAGATGAACTGTAATTCATATAGCATCGTTAATCCATTTAACATTTACAAAGATATGCATTAAACATCCTTAAATATCCCAAATGCACAGTGCACTGATTCAAAAAACCTACTGAAATCCATCTAGCAAAATAGTGCATTTTCAAGGCTACAAATCAGTTCAAAAAACCAAAAGAAATTCAATGTTTGTGATGTCTAATTGCAAAACCCATGTGCCATAATTTCAGTTCCTATTGCACATAAAACATGAACTAAAAAACATTAATTTGTTACAATTTCTAGCATCTTTAGGTCTTGGTTTGCCTTGTCTTTCTCTACTTGGTGGCTTTCGGTGAATGAGCTTCAGGATTTCCAGATGAACCATCCATTTTTTATGATGCCTAATTTCAAAGTTCATTACAAAAGGTCAAATGCAAAGGAAGGTTCTAAACTAAACTACTTGTTGTAAACTACAAAGGAGAGGATTAGGTTTTTACCTTAGATTTCCTTGTCCTCTTTCTAGGTGTAGCTTCGATTGATGATGATGCTCTCCCTTATGCTAATGTAGATGCCTATAACAAAGTATAAAATCATTCATTAAAGGATTAAGGGATTAAAGGATTAAAGGATTAAAGAAAGTACAAAATGTTACCTGTTTGTCCTTTAGAGGAAGATGTCGATGATGGGTCCTTGAATTATGTCCTTCTTGCTTCCATATAGTACACTTCAAGGCACCTTGCCCTTTCCTTCCTAGCTTAAATGGCTTAGGAGGACCTTTAGGATTATTTGGTGGGTTGGTGGAAGTTTGTTCACCATTTTTCTCCAATTCAACAGCATCTTTGTTTCTCTTATTCCTTGGTCTTCTAGGTTGCCTTGTATATAATGGAGGCAAGATTGGTGATTTTTCAGTATCCTCCCACAATGACATACCATTCATTGGCATTATTAAGTGAGAATAAACTTCCAAGTACCGTGCATTTGAATAGAAAACATCCATATAATCCTCAAGTTTTTCTCTCTTGAAATGGATGGCAGATAATGCATGGTTGCAAGGTATTCCCGTCAAGTCATACTTCCTACAAGAGCATGTCTTCTCAACCAAGTCCTCCACATATTATTCCTCACATTCAACATCCACTTGAAATTTGGTCCCTTCTGACCATTGTGCAATGCACTTGCCACTTAAGAGTTTGACTTCCTCCAACTTCTTCTTAATCTTAGGGCAAAGATCTTCTACTTGCTTCATCATTATACCTCACCTCATTTGAATTCTCTTCATCAACATAGTATAAATCATTTGCAGCATAGTTATAATAGGCTTTTGCCTTGGCACTAGTATGACTGCATTGAATGATTCACACAAATTATTAAGCATCATGTCACACTTTGGATAGGTTTCAAAGTGAGACTTGCTCTATTGAGTTGCAGGCTTCTTCACTAGCCATTTGTAGGCATTCTCATCTAGTTTCTTACCCTCCCCCATTGCCTTTTTGAAGTGTGGAACTGTTGTTGTTTTGACAACTGCCTATAGAACATCCTTCAAAGTTTTCCCCTTGAACAAATTCTTATAGTTTGTGTACGCCTCACACAGAATTTGTGGTGGCATCTGGGGAGAACCTTTTGAAATGCTGGAATTGGCCCATTTTGCTTGTCATTAGTAAATTTTCACCCATCTTGGTTTTCAATACCCACATCATCAGCTAACAGTTGTAAGAACCAAATCTAAGCTGTTTTATTTTTCATTTCCACCATTGCATAAGCAATAACCTATATCTCATCATTTGGATCAATGCCAACAACACATAGCAACTGCCCTCCATGTAAAACCTTTAAGTGGCACCCATCTAAACCTATCAAAGGTCTACATCTTACCTTAAAGCCTTCTTTGCATGCCCCAAGAAAACATATATCCTTTAAAACCTTTCTCCATCCAACCTTAACTTCACAGTGCTTCTAGGGTTAGTCTTCCTTACTTCCTTAGCAAAATCCCACAGTTTTGTATATTGCTCTGTATGTATCCCTTCAATTATCTTGAAAGCTTTATTCAATGTTCTATAAGCCTTCATCTTTGTACACCCATGATTCTACTCAGATTCCACAGTGGCTAAAAAAAATCGACATGCCATGAGGGATTGAGCTTTATCTGATCCAAGTACAAATATGTGAGTAAAAAAGCAATCATGTTTTTATTTGCCCAAGCCCTCCCACATGTGTGGTGATCAAGGACTGTCTTGATTTGGATGTTGTTTTATCCATGCATCTTGCCAGCAACACACATCCAAGGGCAGTCATTTACACACTTTGCAGTAATCTTTAACTTTTCATTACTATGAAAATGAATTTCCCTATATCCATTCACTAAGGAATACATCATGACAACTCTTTTGAATTGCACACTGTCTCTGAAAATAAGCCTTAGAGTAAGCTATGGATTCTTCATGTTCGTTCTCTCATTAGACTCTGGATAATGCTTTTTTTTCCTCCTTCCTCATCTTCAGAGTGTACACTTTCCAGATCATCAGAATTATGATCTGGTTCATGAACCATATTCACCTCCCTATCTCCAAATTTTTCAACCTCTTCTTGTCCTTCCTCTTCTTGTCTCTCCCCTTCAGCTTGCCTTTCTATTCTTTGATCATATTACACCTCATGTGCTTGCTGAATCCCATCATACTTAGCAAATTTTAGGTTATCTTCATCACTCCCATAATCACTCTCTACAAAGACGCTGTCTTATTCAGTATCTTCTTCATCACTTTCTTCATGATTTCCTTCAAAATCGACAGGTACATCAAAGAATGTATCACCGTCTTCCCCATCACCTTCTTTACCAACTTTTACACCTTCTTGAGGAACTTGTACATCTTCTAGACCACATTGTTCAGCAAATTGTACACCTTCTAAACCTCCTTCTCGAGCAACTTGTACTTCTTCAACCTTAGCAACACTTGTACCACCCACCTCTTCTTGGTGAAAACCATCATCTGAGCACATAACAGTCACCTCTTCTTCAATATACACCTCCTTATTATTTAAGGGTTCTTCAATAGCTAGTAACCCCTTTCTTTTTATTGGTTTACAATTTATTGCCTTAACATCCCTTTCCTCATCACTTAATTCCTCAATAACCACTTTGCTTAGACTGGTGCACTCCATAAACTCCATAAAAAGAGTTAAAACCCTAGTTAGTGCAGCTAACAAACCCTAAGACCATAGCCCACGCCAAATGTAAACAAAGCAAAGCACAAAGCACATCACAGAGAAAAGCACAAGAGGACCCCAATCCTTAAGCCTTAAGCCCTAACACAAAAGGACCCTAAGCCCTAAACCCTAAACCTTAAACAAAGAAAACATTACATCTTCTTCACCAACAAAAAAAGCTCCAAGCCCTAAACCCTAAACAAAGAAAACACTACATCTTCTTCACCAACAAAAAAAGCACAAAAAGGAACCTAGTTAGTGCAGCCAACAAACCTTAGGACCATACCCACCCTAAATGTAAACAATTGCAATTCAACATATTCAACAGCCAATAACAAAGCAAAGCACAAAGCACATCACAGATAAAAGCACAAGAGGACCCAAAAGGACCCCATTATCTAACAAATCAATAAGCATTTTGAATAAACAAAGAAAACACTACATTTTCTTCACCAACAAAAAGAACACCAAAATGACCCTAGTTAGTGTAGCCAACAAACCTTAAGACCACACCCACCCCAAATGTAAACAATTGCAATTCAACAAATTCAACAACCAATAACAAAGCAAAGCACAAAGCATATCACAGACAAAAGCACAAGAGGACCTAAAAGGACCCAATTATCCAACAAATCAATAAGCATTTTGAATAAATTTGAAAACAACCCACCCATCTCCAACAAACAAAACACCAAAAAGACCCTCCATTATCCAACATTAGAAAAAACAAAACAAAAGCACCCGAATTTGAACTTTTTTTTAAACAATTATCCAAAGAACCCCTAGGACCACTAGGACCCAAACTACCTTTTCCCCGACAACAATGCATAAAGCACCCATTCGACTCGCTAGACCTCCATCACCCAAACAACTTTTTTCTCGACAACAATAAATAAAGCACCCATATGACCCCTATTCTACAACATATCAGTAAGTATTTTGAATAAACAATCAATGAAACCCATAAATCGCCAACAAAGATTTTGGAATCAACAAACCTAGAATAATGGGAATAAAAAAAGGGAAGCAACAAAGCACAAAATGAACTGAAATATGTACTTACAGTAGGTAGGCATCGTTTGCTCGGGATCCTGCAGAATCCTTCGAAATACTGTCAAATCCTTCAAAAACTAGAAGAACTTAGGGTTTTCAACAAAAATGAACAAAAGGAAGGTAGGAGACAACAAGGCGAACTTAGGGTTTTCGCTGAATGAACTATTAATCGCGATTTGGGACGAGTGATATGAAATTATGGTTAGGGTTCTTTGATTTGGGAATTAGAACGAAACTGAAATGGAATGGAATTGCACGGTTGGGGCTTTAGGCTTCAATTCGAATTGCACAATTGACGAGGAAAATTTAAAAAAAAAAATTAATATTTTTTTGTAATATACACATGTCATCATTTTAGATGATCCACGTGTATTAGATACCAACATGGAAGTTCATATGTGGAGAGGGTGGGACCCAGCATAAGCCACGTTATTACATAACTGAGGAATTGATAGACAACATAACGGAGGTAGAACATTGCAACAAATTTGTAAGCAAAGGTATGACATTGAAACTTTTTAAAGATGAGGTATGAAATTGTTAACGATCTAATAGTTGAGGTAGTTTTTTTTGTAATTTTACCCTAAAATAAAATAAAGTGCAAAAATCAGAGTTTAATGGATACAACTGAAACATAAATGTATTTGTGCAATTATGATTGTATAAGATGTGCTTAGTTCCAAATTGCTAAATGTAAAGTGCGTTTCGTTTACAAGAAAGTGGCCTTAGAAAGTTCCTCAATGTTTATTAAATTATATAAATAGCACAATAGTGAGTGTGTGTGTGTAATGAATTAGATGTGGTGTTGGTCAAGATGTTCAGAGTACTGTTATTCGTATATTATTGGAGTTAAGAAAATTCTTTGGTAAAAGAATTGAGAAAATTTCACTAACTTATAAAAACTTTTTATATTGTTCAATTAGTTATTAAAGTAAAATTTCAATTTTTTTTAAGCAACAGGTTAAGGACTCATGTACTATAAGCTTTTTGATTGAAAATAAATAAAAATTAAAAGTGGGGGTTGGCATCCACATTCATTCACCTATCACACATGTCCATTCCCCCCTCCTAAGAGCAAATCCACCCGGTGGATAGGGAGCAAATCCAAATCAATTGCCTCCCTAACTAGCTCCAGCCCATTCGGGCAATTGGGCTAAGAGGGAGACAGTGGGAGAGGGCAAGCGCGAGTCCAATGCCCGAGTGCTTGAGGGCTGTGTGATGCAAGGCTGACATTAGGCACATGGGGGCTCGTCATCGACAATATTTCAAGTGGTGGGGCCCGTGGTTTACATTCTGATATATTACCATTACTGGGTGCCACGTGGCACCCCTCAAGATTTCAAGCGGTGGGGCCCGAGATTTCAACGACCCTTTTTTTTCTGGACCCTTTGATTTCCAACAGTAAAAAAAAACAAAAAAATCAAAACTCCCCTAATGCTAGATGATGTGGCACAATCTGAGTCGTTCAATTCCAGATCAACGATCCACGTTTTTCGGCTTTAAAAATTTTAAAAAGAAAAAAAATGATATGTTACTGTTATGCCACATGGCACAATCTGGAGGGTTGCATTCCAAATTTTCTATAAATTCCTTATCATTATCTTCCACCTTACACCACAGTTACATATTTTCTCAAATACTTTCAACCACATGCCAATATTTCTCTCTAAGTTTCTATATACTTTTGTTTCCAAAAAAATGGCTAATGATGCAGGTACAAATTAGACGCTTATTTAACATGTTACGTTGTGTTCTAGTTGGGTTGAAGTTACTCATGATCCGATTATAGGTAATGAGATGCAATTGGGAGAAATCAGGAGCAATATTCATTCCTTTTTTCTTGAGAAAATTGGTGGCAAAAGAACAAAACAATCGCTCTTAAGTCGTTGGAGAATACCCAGCCAATCGTTTACTCATTGGAGAAATGCCTTGGCTCAAGCTAGTACTAATATTCGAAGTGGGGAAAATTACGCGGATTAGGTAACAATATATTATTTATTTGTTTGTATTGTACCCGAATTTACATTAGTTACTTTGATTCTAATTTTTTTCTTCTCCTGCATTTTGTAAACACTTCAAGCACAAGCTTGGTATAATGCCAAAAACAAAAACAAATCATTCAATCGGTGGGAATGTTGGAATATTGCCAAAGATTGTCTCAAATTCAGAGTTGTGCCTGTCGGTCCAAGGTTGTCATGAACAGCACCCCTCTATACTCTATGCCAGATC